GACCCTATAGCGAGAGGACAGCCACTTCTCCATCTTTGGAGCGAGCTTGCCTGAGGGAGCCAGCATTCACCAAAGACCCACCTGAAAGAAGGATGTCATCTGCATCTCCATTGAGGCCCCCCGGCAAGAGCACCAAGGAGCCAGCCAGCTGTCTCCACAGCAGAGAAGACTTTAAGAACTGTTTAACCCCTTAAGAGAACTGGTTAAACCCCAGAGACATCCTGCTGCTTTGCTTATCGGGCATGGGGAATGGGGAGTTAATAGATGTTACTGATTTTGCAAAAAAAAAAAAAAGAAATCAAGAATTAGTATGTGACTACGAAAACCCTGGAGTCCTGGTGTGGCTCTGCGGGATAATGCACTAGACTGCAAGGTCGTTTTGAACCACAGGTTTGTGGTTCAAGCTCACCAGCTGCTCCTCAGAAACTCTATACAGGGTCAGAACTGACTGTTAACAACAACAAAAGGAAAGTCCTATATAGGATCATTATGAGTAGAACCAACTGAACGGTCAGTTAAGAAAAAGTGTTATTTGACAACTCATTGTAAATTTTTCCTTCCTTCCCCTGCATTTCTCTCTATAATGTGAGGCCAGTTCCCTTTGCTTACCAAATAAAAACTGTGTCTCATACAAGGCTCTGGGAATTGATGAACTACAAATTGAAAATTTTCAACAAAATGAGGAAGCCCTGGAGGGCACTCACTCATCTATGCCAAGAAATTTGAAAGACAGTTACTTGGCCAACTGAATGGAAGAGTTCCATATTTGGGCCCATTCCAAAGAGAGGTGATTCAATGGAAATCATCAAAAAACAGTAGCATTAATATTACATTCAAGTAAAATTTTGCTGAAGATAATTTTTTAAATGGCTGCAAAAGTACATCAACAGGGAACTGCCAGAATGCCAGAAATTCAAGCCAGATATGGAAGAGGAGATGGTACTGGGGATATCATTGCTGATGTCAGCTGGATCTTGGCTGAAAGCAGAGAATACCAGAAAGATGTTTACTTGCATTTTATTTTGACTATGCAAAAGCTTGCGACTGTGTGAATCAAGACAAGCTATAGACAGCATTGTGAAGAATGGATATCCCAGAACATTTCATTGTGCGCATGAGGCACCTGTACATTGACCAAGGACAGTCATTCAAACAGAACAAGGAGACAGTGAATGGTTTAAGATCAGGAAAGGTGTGTCCCAGGAGTTTATTCTGTCACCATACTGATTTAGTCTGTACGATAAGCAAACAGTCTAAGAAACTGGATTATGTGAAGAAGAATATGGCATCACGATTGAAAGAAGACTTGTTAACAACCAGCAACATGCAGATGATACAATCTTGCTAGATGGAAGGGAAGAGGACTTAAAATACTTAATGGTAAAGATCAAAGATCACAGCCTGCAGTATGGATTGTACCTCAATGTAAAGAAAACAAAAGTCTTCATAACTGGACCAATAAAAAAAATCCAGATAAAGATGTGTGGAGAAAAGATTGAAATTGTCAAAGACTACATTTTGCTCAGATCCACCATCAACAATCATGGAAGTAGCGGTTAAGAAATCAAGTGACATATTACATTAGGTGAATCTGCTGAAAAAGAAAGACCTTTTTAAAGTGTTCAAGAGCAAAGACATCAGTTTGAGCACTAAGGTGTATTTGACCCAAGCCGTGGTATTTTTCAATGGCCTCATCTGCATGTGAAAGTTAGATAGTGAATAGGGAAGACTATAGAAGAAATGATGCACTGAGTGTTGGAGGAGAATATTGAAAAGACTGTGGACTGCCAGAAGGACAGACAAATCTATGTTGGATGAAGTCCTTAAACATCAGGATGATGAGGCTTTGTCTCTCATATTTCATACATAATATTAGGAGGGACCAGTCCCCGGAGAAGGACATCACGCTTGGTAAAGTGGAGAGTCAGCAAAAAAGAGGAAGATCGACCCTGCCCGCCCCAACAAAATGGATTGGCACAGTAGCAGGAGCAATGGGCTCAAGTGTAATTACAATTATAAGGAAGGTGCAGAGCTGGGCAATGTTTTATTCTGTTGTACATAGGAACCAACTCAGTGGCATCTAGCAATAACAAAGGCCTTATCAGCAGAGGCAGATTGGATGTGGCTGTTTTTCAGGCCTCTCTAATGACAAGGACAACTCTTACTTGGTAATCAGACACACTGTTTTGGGAAGGTGGCACTGATAGCATTTGGGTGCTTTCATTGCTGGGAAAACAAGTCCCTTAGAGATGAAGATGGGTGGGCTGGAAGGGCTCTGGGCAGTGTGCACATACCTCACCTGCGATGTTCTCAAACAGGGTGCGTAACTGGTGCTCCTCCTTGGTCTCCTGGCTAGGTGATGTTGGCTTCGGAGGCTAAAACAGAACCACAGGAACTTGCACAGAAAAAGAAATTTCCCAAGAAATTGTAAGACCCGGATGGGTAAAGGTGCAGTTCTCTTGTGAGAAGCCGGGACCCTTCCCTTACCTCAAGTCATATGTCACCCTGTTTATGAGGAGTCCTCTGCCTATAGCATTATGGTGGCAAAGCTGACTCCATGCTTTCAACAGCTTGTGAGGGCTCTTCAGCCTGGGGGAATCTGGGAGGACTTTGTCAAACTCACTAGGTCTTCGCCATACAGATGAGAAGACTAAAGGAAGTATTCTCTGACCCCGACAGGAAATTAGGGTCCTGGCCAGAGGGTCATCCTAGCTCCCTGTACTTTATCTTGACACTTACCACCTTTGTTTCACCATCAGTCCTAATACACAGTCTTTGAGGGCAACAGTCCATGCCTAGCGTGTTGAAAGAGCTCAGGAAATACTTATTTGATTTGGTCCATGAATAAACTACAAACCAGAGATGAAAGAAAGCAAGGAGCAGCAAGCTAAGTACACGACTGCGGATTTGGAAGCAGTAAGGCTTTCTCTGCCACACCCCAGAACCTCTTGAAAGTCTTACAGCCCTTTTGACCAGTATAAAGCCTCACACACGGATACACAGACACACACGCACAGTGTAGGAGAGTGGTAAGGCTTTGCTCTGCATCCACAGTAAAAGAATTTACCTGCCTCTCTCATTTTCCTTCTATTATTTTTGTTAAATAAAATACATTTTGAAGGTATTCCATTCCCTTCTGAAGTAGCAGGGATGGAGTGAGTTGATGGCCGAGAGGAAGATTGAACCAATCAACTTTATCCCAAACACCACCTTGTTCACCGAGATATGATGGAATATGAGACTTAAACACAGGAATCGTGTTCTCCAGAATGTTGGAATCACAGATTTACCTGATAGCAAATAGCCAGTCTCCAAATGTTTTAATGACACTGTTGCAGTCCTGGTGTGGAGCTGCAGGTTATGCACTGGACGGCAAGGTCAGCTTGAACTATAAAGTCAATGGTTTAAGCTCACCAGCAGATCCTTGGAAACTCTATACAATGTCGCTATGAGTTGAAACTGACTCAATGGCACTTAACAACAACAACAACAGCAGTTAGAAGGAAAACTTCCACGACTCTCCACTAAATCTCATCCCTAACAAACAGCACTCCAGAAGACTCACCTCAGGAAGTTCAATGTCTACATGTTCATCCATATCCCTGTGGAAGCAAAAAACACACCTGCTCAAGTGTGGGCTAATTTTCTAGTTGGAGTCTTCAGAATGAAGGGGCTAAAATGAACTGGGAGTTTCTGCCCCATTGTTGCTTCAGTGATATCTGTATTTCAAAGGGCCTGTTGATTCCACCCTTGAATGAATGGTGGAATGCTCAGAATGAACAACAGGCATTCAAAGAAAGGTCCAAGTGGCTACCACCCAAGGAAGATTAGCAATTCTTTGTTTCCAGGAGAAGAAAAGTGAAGCAAGCAGTCATTCCCCATTCCCCTGAGGAACTTTAGCAAGGGGTATTTATAATGTGCTATGCAGAGTTGTGGGCTCTGGTGTGATGCCATAGGATAAGCAGTAGACAGATAACCACAAGGTCGACAGTTCAAACCCCCTAGCTGCTCTCGGAAACCCTATACACAGTCGCAATGAGTTGGAACCGACTTGGTGGCACACCACAACAGCGTGCCGAACTGTAGCGCTCCTGTAGGCCCATGAGCAGAGCGGTTGTGTAGCATACACACCTGCAGCTTGAAAGCAGGTACACAATCATGGGAGATGATCCAGTCTTTTCAGAGTTAATCATTCATGGGGGCGATTTGAAAAGGTTACAAAACCAGGTGAGTCAGAACCTTCCCTGCCCCACAAAAAACACCAAAAACTATCCTGAAAGCTGCATCCATCCCCCCTGGCCCCTTCCCATAGATGTGAATCCCTTACTCCACTGGGGATATGGGGACTTATAAGTGTGTTTGTGTGCTTATGTTTGAAACAAAGAAAAACATAATGTTTATTTTGTTGTCTACATAAGTAAGGAAAACTGTAGTGCTTGGGTGGCAATAATATGACAACTTTGGTCAAAGCAAAGTAACATTTGGAAGAATCCAGTCATATCGATCAAAACCCATAAAAACTAATAAATACTCAAAAGGAATACAAATAAATAAGCATTAAGATTCAGCCTTATCACCTGTCTGTCAAGATTGTCCTACCATGGTGGCTTCCACGTTGCTTTGATGCTGGAAGCTGTACCTCCAGTGTTATACATACCAGCAATCTCACCCATGGTTGATGGGTTTCAGCAGAGCTTTCAGACTAACATAGGCTAGGAATAAACATCTGGAGATGTATTTCTGAAAGTTAACCAATGAAAACCTAGAGATCACAGCAGAATGTGATCTGATACAGTGCTGGAAGATGAGCCCCATAGGTTGAAGACACTCAGACAGTGGTGGTCACAATGGACTCATACCAAGGAACGTACCAAGATAGTGCAAGACTAGGCAACATTTCGTTCTGTTGTCTGAAATGAGATCACCATGAGTGAGGACTTGATGGAAACAAGATTGAACCCTTTCCTCATCCACTGGGCACATAGAACATAACTATTTCAGAATTTTCTTTTGTTTGGAACCCTCTCATGAAAGTTAAGCCAATGAAAGGAGTTCAATGTGGATCTTCTGTTCCTGAGGTACAGAATGGATTCTTATGCTTAATATCTGAGCAATTTCAAGGATCTTGGTCAGGGCAAGCATGAGCCTGGAGTCAGCATTGCCAGGTACAAGCCACCTATACAGGCCAGGAACTCTGAGCTCACGTAAGTAAGAGGATGGATACTATGAAGTTTAGGATGGGTATAGACTGACTGGCTTTTTGCTTTTGCCAAGCAAGAAGCCAGTCAGTCTATAGATCTTAGATGGTATGTTTATATGAAATTCATTCTAAGCTTGTGCTAGTATTTGAGGGGAAGGTTGGAGAAGAATTCTCTAGTAGAGTTTGAAAAAATTCAAGACTTTACTCCTTTGATTTAGTATAAGAGAAAGAAGCGTGCCTTTTTGATCAGACTGGGAAACCCAACCAGATTGTAATTTGAAGTATGGGGGATGGCCAGTTTTGTGGGAGGAGGGGGGGAACGACTTCAGAAAGTTTATGGAAAATTCCAAGATATTTTACTTACATTTTCCCATAAACTTCTGGAAGCCCCCTCATATTCACAGTGAATATCACCAATCCAACTCTACCCATAAAGTGAAAACTAAAAACCATAGCAGACAAATGGATTTGTAACTATCTCTAGTCTGTGAATGGCTCTTCATTGGTGGTGTGTCTATCTTACATGCAGCATGCCAAGATTTTGCCATTCTCTGGGATACTCAGAATGTTTCCATTGGGAATATAAATGGACTCTTGTATCTTGACCATTTTTTCTTCTGACTGGGCAGTAATGGGAAATCTTTCTAATGTTTTTGTTGTTAGTAAGTTCTGTTGAGTCGGTCCTGACTCACAGCAACCCTGTCTAGGGTTTCTGAGGAGTGGTTGGTGGGTTTGAACTACCCACCTTGTGGTTCAAACTGACCTTGAGGTTGAGTGTTTGTCCTATGGTGCCACACCAGGATTCCTTTATAGAAGTAACTGATACAAACTCATTTTTCAAAGACACCGTGAAGAAAAGGTGGCAGAAAGTCATGGATACAAAATGGCACACAGAAATAACTAGCCCTAAATGTGGCTACCTTAGCCCCCAAACTGGAAACTTCATGAAAATAAGGTCTGAAAAGTGAAGGACTCACCTCAGTGAGTGGGATTCTGGGAGCAGTTGGGAACAATTTTTTAATGGTCTATTATGGGAGGTAAGATCAGAGCCAATGTGGATATATGTACACCACTTTTCAGATTGGTGAAGAAATCTTTTGGCAAATGGACAAGGGAAGAAATGGGACACAGTGCCCACCCCTTAGTAGCTTCTCTGTGAATGAACCACTACATAAAAAGGGGTTCTCAAACCTAGTTGTTGGTGGTAAGTACAGTTGAGTCAGTTCTGACCCATAGCAACCCTGTATAGGGTTTCTGAGAAGCGGCTGGTGAACTTGATTTAGCGACCTAACAGATGAAACCGACTTGGCAGTCCAGCGCATGAACCCACAGCGCCTCACAAGGACTCCTTCAAGCCTGATACTCACTGGGTAATGGCTTTCTTCTCTGAAAAAATTCTCAGGCAGAAATCAGCTTCCTGGTGTGGCTCAAAAGTGCTGGGAATCAGTATGTATTCCCCAGGGGGAAGCTGAAACCGGTCAGAGACTTCTCTCAGATTGACAAATGTTTTGCTTCTGGCCTGTGAGGCATGGTACTTGAAGAAGTCTTTGTTCAGATGTTCATCTTTGCCAGGGCTCTGCAATGAAAAAGCAAGAGGGTGGTTCTTGATAAGGAGGGTCATTGGTCTTGACTTTTGGACTAGTCGTTGAGACTCAGGAGTGTGATAGAGGAAGAATGGAGAATTCAAACTCAGAGGCTTGACTGTGAAGAGCAGTTTGGCTCCCACATACTTGGTAAATGGCATAGCCAATAGTGAGCACATTGGCTCCAAATCTCTTGAGTTTCCTTCGATCTTTCTGCATCAGGGCTACAAGGAGAGTGCATTCCTCCTCTCCTTCATCTTTCTCAGTCAAGGACAACTTTATCTGTGGATTGGTCCAGAAGGTATCTGCCATTCAAAAGAGATAAATTATTTTCCCTTAAATACAAAGAAAAACACAAAGGACAATTTCACACACTCACAATCACTATTTCCTACTACACCCTCCCAACCCTGAGAAAATGTCTTTTCTCTGTGAGCATGCAATCTGTTTTGCCTTTACTTTCCTTCTTCTCTTTAGACCATTTCAAATGCAGTTTTTAAAAGATATTCTTTTGCATGTAGTCTGTGAACGTTTGCTCCATCTCATTTTCTTCCACTTGGAATTCAAAGGACAGTGTAGTAGGCTTGGGGGTGTGCCCTCCCCCTGCCAGCATCTGTTCTACCCCACTGTTTAATGGTTTTGCAACTTGAGTAGGGTTGACCTGGTGCCCACCTTCAAGTGTGAGCTCTGATTGATCTGTGCAAATCCCCCTTGCCACAGAGAATTGGAACAAAGTCAATTCACCTCATAACATTTCCCAGATCATATTGTTTCTAAAAATTTCCAATTAGAAGGAAATAGAAAACTTTTTTTTGATGATCTCTGTACAGGTAGCCTTTCTGTCATAGTAAATAAAGTCACCCTGAAGAAGCAATCCTGGAAATGCAGACAGCAGTTAATTACAAACAGATGGAGCCAGAGCCCTGATAAAACTGCCCAAAGCCCAGCAAAGTCGCTACTGAATTTTCCACTTATGCAACTCAGTTAATCCTCTTTGTTGCTAAACTGGTGTGAGTTATGCTTTCCGTTACTAATAATGGTGAATAATCCAAATAGCACAAGAAAGAGTTTCCCTAAGCAATTCCTTTCTAACTTCCTATTATATCTCTACAGCTTTCTTTTCCAAGTTGTTCCTAAAACCGTACTGCCTCACTTCACATTTCTGGCTTTCTCTATGGTCTTGGCCCTGATTTCACTGTACCACAGATCCCTTTGAGGCCCCTGGTTGTACTAGCACTTGCGAGAGGCAGAGAGAGTGAGAGCGAAACACCAACCCAAGAAGTTGCGACAGCCCCCAGCGGTGGAGCCTCGAACCCAGCTTCCTTCATGGACCTTCACTTCCCACTTATGGAGAGCATTGTCCTCTAGGGCATCAGGGGTGAGGTTGCAAATCTCTACTTTGTCAAAATGGGACTTGAAATCCTTAAATGCCATCCTGCAACAAAGTGGAGAGAAATGACATGTGGGAGAGGGACAGTGATGCTGTGATTCATTCATTCCTTGCTAGATATTTACCAAGTACTTAGCCTGCCCTCATGGAGCTTACATTCAAGAGTGGAGAGAAAAAGGTAAAACCAGAGGATGATTGTATCCACATTACAGAGAAAAATGAACTAAAGCAAAAAGATGGTATGTAGCAGTAGGGTGCGTTTTGGGTGGAGACTAGGCAAACAGCTGTCTGGATGAAAAGCGTTCCAGCCAGATGGGCAGCAAGGTCCCGAGGGAAATAGATTTTTGATGTGCTCCATGAATCCACACAGGACAGTGAGGCTGGCACAAACAGGGGAGGATGTCAATTAGAGGTAGGATCCAAAAGCAATGGTGGCTACCTACAATTGTTGTTGTTGTTGTTATGTGCCGTGGAGTTGGTTCCGACTCATAGCGACCCTATACAGGGTTTCCGAGGCTGTAAATCTTTATGGGA